GTGTGACTCTGGAAGATGAGGACAAACCCAGCTGCTTATTTTTCTCCTGTACTCCTCCTTTCCTGGTCTCAAACATAATACACTTGTAGAATAAGGTGGTTTTGGGATGGAGAATTCAAGAGGGGCACTGCAGGGAACCTGCAGTGATGCTAATGAGGTAGTAATTTGGGAAAACAATCCCACAAAGTGTTCATGAATTTTTGGGGTCACTCCTGACCTGTACATGCATATACCCTATCCTAGTTAGCAAACAAAAGGCTTCGAGCACTGAGCTAACAGAGTCGGGTCTGATGGCTGAGCAGTGAACATATGAGGCAAATCTGGACAGCACTGAAAAGCTCTGAAAGCTGAATTGACAGTGGAACCACAGTGTACAAAAGGAAGACGGGAACTTAGGACCTAGCCAGGTTGAAGGCCTGTCAAAACAAAAACACCAACATCCTCTGAAACAAGAGCCCCCAACCCCTGATCAGTGGCTTACTGCTCCCTCAGGCCCCGCACAGTGGGAGGTGGGCGGTGGGTGGGTAAGCAAGGTTTGTCTGTGTTTGTAGCTGCTCCCATCACTCACATTGCCACTGGGCTCCGCCTCCTGTTGGGTCAGTGGTGGTATGGGATTCTCATGGGTGTATGAACCCCACTGTTGTGATTGTTCATTGTATAATGCTACCATTTATATGGTATGGAAAAGGAAAAAGACTAGCTAAAATGATTTTTTGAGGAGAATTAAGTTGGAGGAATAACGCTACCTGATTTTTTTTTTTTTTAAAGAGATTGTTGTTATAGGGTGTGTGCATTCACCAGAGAGACAGACAGACAGAAAGTGAGAAATCGCCCGTCAGAGGGATGGTCACGCTACAATCCCTTCTCATCTATTCTCCTCTCAGGATTTTGGGCACACATGCACATGTGCTTGGCATGAATTTTAAGCTGCTGGGTCCAAGACTTGAACCATGGTCGACCACGTGGGAGCCCAGTGATGTAACCATCATGCCATCTGCTGGTCCCAACACACTACCCGTTTTTAAGACTTACTATAAAGCTACAGTAATCAAGACAGTGTGGTACTGATGAAGATATAGGCACACAAATCAAGGGAACAGAATAGAGAATTCAGACACAGAGTCACAAAAAATATGGCCATTTGATTGGCATAGGTATAGGAAAGGTACAAAATGAATCCAATGGAGAAAGCAAGTATTCACCATAACAGGAGCTGAGAACACTGTGGTAAACAAGTCAAAGACTAAATACGAATGACCAGAGTCAGCAAAACTGTAATCTGTGGTGCAGCTGGGAGACTGATTCTGACAATGAACTTACTTAGGACAAAGTTTTTGAACTAATGGGGGAAATCAATAAGGAAGACTTCTGTTCCTGATGAACCTGGTTATTCAGTATTGTTAATTTATGTCATCATTTAATCTTTCCATCTATGGTCATCAAAATGACTCCAAATAGAAAACAGATCACAGTCCACTATTCAATTTAAGCTATGTGTCAAAATTAACTTCTGGGAAAAGTTAAAATCAAATAGTATTGATGCTTGAATTTAATCCAATTCAAGTTGTTAAATAGTAACATATTAACTCTTTGATCAAAAATATGTAGAGGGGTGGGACCAGCAGTTAGTGTAATGACTATGTCGCTGAACTCCCATGTAGTTGACCATGGTTTGAGTCCCAGATCCAGTGGCTTAAACTTACACCGGGCATGTGTGGGTGTGTGTGCCCAAGATCCCCCCAGGGGGGTGATTTCTTGCTTTCTGTCTCTCTGTCTCTCTCTGTCTCTCTGGTGAGCGCACGCGCCCTGTAGCTAAAACCTCTCAAAAAAAAAAAAAAAAAAAACATGTAAAGGGGTCAGCAGGTGGTATGGTGGTTAAGAGGGGGTGAACTCCCACATGGCCTACTGCAGTTCAAGTCCTGGACCTGGTGGCTTGCTTTCGCATTTTCCCTTTCTCTCTCTCACTCTGTCCCTCTCTGGTCAAATTAAAAATAAATTAATAAAGTTAAATAAAATAATTATTTTAAAAATTATTAATTAATTATTATTATTACATCTTTAGTTCAGTAGAGAGAGAGAGACAGAGTGAGAGAGAGGGAAAGTGAGACATTAAGTCACTGGGTCTAGGACTCAAACCACAGCTAGCCATGTAGAAGTCCAGACTCATAACCAACACGCCACCTGCTAGCCCCTAAGTAAAATAATTCTTTCTATTTATTTTTTTATGATTGAAGAGAATAATATTTTATTCTTTCATTTATTATATCTTATTTTTTGCAAGGTGAGTCTATAAAACCATTTCTGGTGAGAAAATTCAGCTTCCATCTTTAACATGAAGAATAGTCTACCTTCATGCATAAAAGAAAAATGCAGTCATCTCCAGGATTTATAGCACCAAAGAGGTCTAGACTAAGGAAGTGAGATTAAAATCTGGTTGTGGGCAAATTCTACTTCTCTGTTATCAGAAGAATCTAGCTTCTGTCTAGGAATCACATTGAACATGGATTTATCAACTATCTCACATCATTCTGCCTTTCTTGTCCCATTAGTCTTTAACCCTTCCTAGCAAGAATATCCAAACTCAAGTCCACTGGATTTTGTAGAAGTCTGCAGATGTTAGGGAGGTTTTCCCAGAGCCAGGTCTAGGTGGCACATATGGTGCTGAAGACCTAGAATTCCCTCCATGGTAGATTTCATCTTCAACCAGCTCACCAAAATGGAGAGAGAACAGTAAAAATAATTCTTAAAAAAAAAAAAGTATCAGCTCATTTAGTGGAAAATGTATGTTTTTTTTTTTAATGTAGAAATAGCAAAGGAGCAATGAGATTATTTCAATGTTTAACAATACTATAATAATTATTATTAATAACCTTGCTAGTATTATTATTTTATCTTGCTATAGAACTTACCTTGTGAGCTCATCAGAAAGAAATAGAAGGTGAGAGAGAGAGGGAAAGTGACAAATCATCTTCTGGGAGGAAGACTACACCGCAATCCCTCCTCCTCTATTCTCTCAGAAATTTGGGCATGCTCACAACCATGCCTGGTGTATTTTTCAAGCTCCTGGGTCCAGGCCTTGAACCATGCAGTTGGTCATGTGGTATCCAGCTGCCTTAACTACTGTACTACTGGCTGGCCCTAGTTATTTTTATTATTATTTAAGTAACTTCACAAACTTTGAAGCCTAGCAAGGTAGCTTCACTACAGCTATATAAGACTCACAAGGTTATTACAATGTATAGTTTTCCAAGTCCTTGATTGAAATACCAATTTAAAAAACTCAGAATGGGAAGAAGAGAAAGGGTGATAAAAATAAAAATTTTGAACAGTTGCAGTCAGAAGTTACATAAAGCATAGAAATAAAAAGAATTCTTGGGAGCCAGCAAATGGTGTGATGAGATGTTGGACTCCCACATGACCAACCATAGCCTGAGTCCTGAACCTGACAGCTGGCTTTCTCACAGTCTCTCTCTGGTGAGCGATGTGCCATGTAACAAATTTAAAAAAATACATAATAATGATAAATAAATCGCCACACTGCAATTCCTTCTCTTCTATTCTTCTCTCAGGATTTTGGGCATGCATGTATACATCCCTGGCATGAGTTTAAGCTTCTGGGTCCAGGACTTGAACTGCAGTTGACTACATCGGAGTCCAATGACGTAACCATTACCAGCCATCTGCTGGTCTCAAATAAATAATTCTTAAAAAAATAATTCTTAAATACTATGTATCTCAACATATATACACACACTTAAATTTGTATTTCAGTTACAAGCATAATTATATAATAAGCACCCATTAACCAACCTCGCAATCCAACAGCCAGATGATCCCAAGGATTCATCTCTCTCCATATGTGTTCTTCCCCTATTCCATCCCTCTAGCTTACCTCACCCTCATGAAATAATCACTGCCTTTTGTACCATTAGTTACTGAGTACTGGGGACATTTTCAATAGCAAAATTAATGCAAATTCATCTTCAATGGGAAACTTAATTTATTTATATCCTATACATACAGCATGGACAGCAAATAGCAGCCTTGAAATCTTATAGTGGTATCATCCTTATTAAAAATATGAGCTGTGGAAGCTAGCAGGTGGTTAAGTAGTGGGACTCTCACATGGTCGACTGCAGTTCGAGTCCTAGACAGGTCCAACTTGAAACAAAAGTTGGGCACATGTGCATACATGCCCAGAATCCCAAGAGGAGAATGGATGAGAAGGAACTGCAGTATGGTCATCCTCTTAGGGGGTGATTTCTCACTTTCTCTCTTTGTCTCTCTGGGAAGCACATGTGCCCTATGGCAAAACAATCTCTCTTAAAAAAATAATGGAGGTCAACAGGTGGTATGATGGGTAAGGTACTAGACTCCCATGTGGCTGACCCTCGTTTGATATCTGGAACTGGTGGCTTGCTTTCTCACTTTCCCTCTCTCTTTCTCTGATGAGTGCTCATATCCTTTTGTTTGTTTGTTTGTTTTGAGAAGTTTTTGCTATAGGGTGCGTGTGCTCGCCAGAAAGACAGAGAGAGACAGAGAGACAGAAAGCAAGAAATCACCCCCTGGGGGGATGGCCACACTGCAATCCTTTCTCCTCTATTCTCCTCTTGGAATCTTAGGCATGCACACCCATGCGCCTGGTGTGAGTTTAAGCCACTGAGTCTGGGACATAAACCACGGTCGACTACATGGGAGTCCAGCGACATAGCCATTACGCCAACTGCTGGTCCCAAGTGCTCATATCCTTTAACAAATTAATAAATAATGATAAGCAAAATAAATAATTATTTAAAAAAAAGAGCTGTGTTATTTTCTTAAAGTCTGCACACAATTTATTTTTCTTTGACCTTACCCTAAAATATTCTAAATCACTTAGGTGATCAAAGTAAGCTTAATCTTTTCAGCTTTTGATAAGAAAGGTGTTTAAGCAGACCACAGCATACTATTCTATTAGAAAATGGCTCAAGAAAATATTAAAATACTCGTAAAGAACTTACCTCATGTAAATTTAGTTCTTTTACTTTCTCTTTTAATATAACCTGTAAGATAAAAAAAGTACGTTCTTATGTTCGTTTAAATTTGTAATTTAAAACATTTCTAATTATATTCATAAATATTTATCTTTTGTACATATAGATAATTTCCCTTATAGTCAATCTTGGAGAAAATGTCTGATCTCTTTTATGGTTTAAGATAGAACATTTTAGCAATATTTGGTTGACTTGAGCAATGACGCACTATTTTCCTGAAAAATAATTGTAAAATCTCTTTAGAGTAGATTAAATTTTGGGAGAAGAGAGCTGGAGGGCTGGCAGGTGGTGTGTGGTGAAGGTGGCTGGACTCCCACATGGTTGACCATGGTTCAAGTCCGGGACCTGGTAGCTTGCTCTTTCACTTTCTTTTTCTCTTGCTGTCTTTCTTTGGTCAACTTCAAAAATAAATAAAATAAAATAATGACAATGAATTTAAAAAAAGAGAGAGAAAAGATTAGAAAACTAAATTTTGGGAGAAGAAATTAACCCGTGACCATCTGGACTACATACTAACATAGGGGTTGACTGCCTCATGATATAGTAAAACAGCACTGGGTGATGACACTGACTGATTATAATGCATACAAAATTAAAAAGTTAATCTTAATTTTGAAGTTTTGCTATTATATTTGTTCTCTGGGAAAGTCATGTCGTATTTTTCTATGCAAAAATGTGTCATGACTTTCCTGAAGAGCCAATACATCAATGTCCTCAGTAAATCTTAGCTCTACATAGATTTGTGTTAATGGACTAAGAATGCATCTACATACTGTTCTTACCTGACTCTATGGTGACCAGACAGTGATTAAAATACATACCAAGTGATAGGAAAGCAGATTACTATCTAAAAAGAAATTTTCTGAGAATAAACATAGCTTATTAGAGTTACATTTTATCATAAAGTGGAAAAAAATACAAGCAAGTAAACTTTTGAGAAAAATCTCTAAGATTTAGGTGTCTTAACATTCTTGAACTAAGATTGGTTTTGAGAGCAAATGATATTTTTAGAAACCACAACCAGAAGCTACATTTCAGGCTACACAGAGAAGTACTAGATTTTCTATTGGGTATATTTTAAAGGTTAAATTTATTGTCTGTCTTGTGACTTGATTCTTTCTTTTCTTTTTCTTTTTTCTTTTTTCTTTTTTTTTCTTTTTTTTTTTTCTTTTTTCTTTTTTTTTCTTTTTTTTTTTTCTTTTTTCTTTTTTTTTTTTTTTGCTATAGAGTGGATATACTCACCAGAGAGAGAGAGAGAGTGTGAGAAATCACTCCCCAGTGCAATCATCCCCCTAGGGCATATGGTCATGTTGCAATCCCTTCTCCTACAGTCTTCTCTCAGGATTTTGGGCACACACACTCATATGCCCAGTGTGAGTTTCAAGTCACAAGGTCTGGGACTTGAATGACGGTCAATTACGTGGGAATCCAGTGATGTAACTATTATGCCATCTCTTGGTCTCCTTTTTTTTTTTTTTAAGATTCTTTCTTTCTTTCTTTCTTTTTCTTTTCTTTTTCTTTTTTTTTTTTGAGAGGTTTTTGCTATAGGGCGCATGCGCTTGCCAGACAGACAGAGAGAGACAGAGAGACAGAAAGCGAGAAATCATGCCCCAGGGAGGATGGCCACGCCACAATCCCCTCTCCTCCATTCTCCTCTCGGGATCTTGGGCACGCACGCACACGCGCCCAGCGTGAGTTTAAACCACTGGGTCCGGGACTTGAACAGCGGTCAGCTACATGGGAGTCCAGTGACATAGCCATTACACTAACTGCTGGTCCCAAGATTATTTATTTCTTTTATGAGAGGAAGTTTTTTCTATTAGGGTGGGAGACAGACAAGTACTCGTGATTGAGTCTTGCCATGCTGCAGTTCTCCCCACAGCTTCACAGCCAGCGAGGATCATGGACACGTACCGGCACCCCCACTGTGTTCAGGTCAACTTGGAATCCAAATCCAGGCCTTATATGTGGCTCCAGTATTACACAGTGGTGCCTGACCGCCAGTGCCACTGTGGCTGGGCTTTGTGACTTCATTGTTTTTTATCAATTTCAGCTACTAAATTACCATCAAGGCCAATTTTGCTTTCTATATACAGATATCTTATAGGTTGTCAAGATTATTACTGAACTGCTGGGGCTGGCAGGTTGCGTGGTGGTTAAGGGCATCGACTCCCACATGGCCGACCACAGTTTGAGTCTTGGACCTGGTGGCTTGCTTGCTCTCTCTTTCTCTGTTCCTCTCTGGTCAAATTAAAATAAATAAATAAAGTTAAATAAAATAATTCTTAAAGAAAAAAATTATTAAACTGCCACAATAAGATTCATTCATTTAATCAACTAAAACTTTCAATTTTTATTATGAATCTCACATGAGACCTATGGAGAAAACCATAGGGCTGCTTAAAGACATCTATGGAGTGTGCCAACGAGCTCAAATTTCAAAGATCCAAGGACAAAAGATGGATGTAAAGATATGGAGTCCTAAAGTGGTTACGTGGAAATGTAATACCAGTGTTAACAAACTAAAGATGGAAATAAGCTAAAACTGGAAGAAAAGAGATGAAGGAGAAGAAAGAAAGGATAACAAACAAAAATTTTATGCTTAGGGCCAAAGAAAATCTAGGTCTACTATTTAGTGTCACTGGATTTTTAAAAAATTTTTTTCTAGAGAGTGTGTACACCTGCCATAGAGAGATGAGAGGAGACAAGAGAAAGTGTTCCCCATGGGGAATGGTCACACCACAATCTCTTCTCCATCTCTCCCTCCTTTTGAGATTTTGGGCCCCTATGCACACACACACACACACACCTGGTGTGTTTCTCAAGTCTCCAGGTTTGGGACTTGAACTGTGCAATTGGCCACATGGGATTCAGCTGCCTTAACCACAAGCCATGGAACTCTCCCAGTGGCAAAATATTAATTGATAACATGTGGAAGGAAAACAAATTTTAGTTGGCTTTCAAGAGAAACCAAGTTTACTAACTAAAAGAACAAATCACTGAAGAATTAGGTGTTAACAGGTATGACTCAAAGTTGGTAGACTACTAGTATGTAACATGAACTAACATTTAAAGTACAAAAGGCAGTAGACGAGTGTCACACAGTTGGTCATCTCTGAGGAACTTCTATGTACTCTAATGGAGAAAGAAGGAAAAATTCACTTAATGGCTTCTCTGAGCTCCATTAAGTTAACAGTAACTTTTTATTTTTTTTAAAAGAGAGATTTTTGTTATAGGGTACGTGTATTTGCCAGAGACACAGAGACAGACAGAAAGTGAGAAATCACTCCCTTATGGGGATAGCCATACCACAACCCCTTCTCCTCCAGTCTCCTCTAGGGATTTTTGGCACACATGCATGCATATGTACCCAGCATGAGTTTGAAGCCGCCAGGTCCGAGACTCAAACAGTAGTCAACTACATGAGAGTCCAGCAACGTAACCATTATGCCATCTGCTGGTCCCAAGTTAACAGTAACTTTAAGAATTATAAGCTATAATTTTTTTTTTTTTTTTAGCAAAATGTTGGTTCCAGTTCCTTGTTAAATCATATATCATCTCGACTTTTTATAGCTTCAAATAATACAAATGAAACATAATATTAAGAAAATCAAGTTGATTTACTTTGTACTGCAAATTAGAAGATGAAATGTTAAAATGAACATGAATAAATCCAGTCCTGGTTTAAACTATGATTGGAAATCTGAATTCTGTTTTTAGGGGGAAAAAACATGATTAAAGCCAATTTGAACTAAATTTCTCACCTGTTTGTAGGCATAAAATTCTTTGTGTGCTTGATGTCTTAGCCTAAAAGACAGAAATGAGCAATGGTATGAGAGTTCCAAAATAATAATTTAAAAAAATTTTTAAAAACTACTGATTTTTGGTATTAATTCATATCACCTATAGTTTATAATCCAGAATCTTAAGTGAGGAATATAACCAAATGACTTATCTTTTACCATGTGATAAGAAAGTACCCAGTAAACCATAAAATGTTATCCAAATGTTTTAGTGAAATTTCATTTAAATGAAATCTTGATTCAGCAACTATTTTAATGAAGATGACTCAATTTTTTATATAGTCCACTTATTTAAATAATTATATATTTTCTCTTTTTTCATGACAGAGCATGTGCATATACACAAGAGAAGGAGAGAGAGTGAGAAATGAACACACTCCACAGCGTCTGGTTATACCATGGTCCCCTTCCAGGCCTCCAGCCCATCAGATCTTGGGCACTATGTGCATACCCAGCATGCTTCAGGCCGTCTAGTCTGGGGATTCAAACCACAGTCACCATATGTGACACAGCTTCTCTTCAGCAGTACACTATTGCTATGTCACAAGCTGGCCCTGTTTCAACAATGTATTTTTCTTATTTTAAAAATTGTAAGTATAACATATATCCAATAAAAAGTCTTCAGTTTTATAAAGCTCAAAATTAAAAACAAAAGTACATACCAGTTTTATTACTCATATCAAGATATAGTATATTTCTAGCACCCCTGAAGCCTCTGGAATAACCCCTCCCAATCAATATCTACTCCTGCAGAGATACCCACTATCCTGATTTCTATTACCACAGATTAACCATGTCTATTTTTGAACTTCATGTAAATGGATCATCTGGTATACAATCTTTCCTGTCTGGCTTCTTTCAGTCAACAATGTATTATGAGATTCCCTCACACAATTTCCTCTTTTTGTTTGACATACAGTGTACCACTGTATAAATATAACACAGTATCCATTCTATGGTCGGGCTACTATGAATAAAGCTAAAGCTCAAATTCTTCATATATTTTGAGAATAAACTAATTTCTGTTGAGTATACATATTCCTATGAGTAGAACTGCTAATTCAAAGTGTTCACACCAATTTCTACCCCTATGAGTAGTTCATGAGAATTCTAGTTGTTCCACATCTTTGTTACTATGTGGCTAGAGTCTGATTTGTCAACTTTTTCCTATCAAGTTACTTCTTTTTGGGGTCTTTATGTACCCTAAGATCATAAAGATGTTCTGTATGTGCTTTGAAAACTATTTACCTATCACATTTAAATCTTTATCTGTCTGAAATTTGTCTTTACATTCATATGTGAGGTAGTGGTGTCAAGATTCTTTTTATTCCCATTCAGATTTCCTATTTTTAAAGAATTATTTTATTTAACTTTTTAAAAATTATTTATTTATCTTGATTTGACCAGAGATGGACAGAAAGAGAGAGAGAAAGTGAGAAAGCAAGCTGCCAGGTCCAAGACTCGAACTGCAGCTGGCCACGTGGGAGTCCAGAGCCCTTACCCATCACGCCACCTGCCGTCCTATCCCATACTGATTTTCCTTTGCCTCACCATTGAAAAAACCTTTTTCCCCCACTGCATTGTGGTGGCACATATGTTGTAAATTAGCTATATCTAATATGTGGGTCTGTTCTAGAGTTTCTATTCTGTTACATTAGTCTATTTGCCTATCCTTATATATTGGCTTGAAGAATTTTTCCACCACAATTTATGTCCAACTGGAACCTCAGAATGTAACTTGATTTGGAAATAGGGTCTTTTCAGATTAACTGGTTAAGATAAAGTCATACTGGACTAGGGTGGACCCTAAATCCAACTTAATGGTGTCCTCAGAAAAAAAGAAGAGGACTTTGGATATCCAGAGACAGGGAAGAAAGCCATGTGAAGACAGAAGCAGAGACTGAAGTGACACAGTCACAAACCGAGGAATACCAAAGATTGCTAGTAATCACCAGAAATTAGGAAGAGGCAAGCATGGCCCTGCCGATACTTTAATTCTAAACTTCTATCTAGCCTTCAGAACTGTGAGAGATTAACTTTCTGCTGTTCTAAGTCACCCAGTTTGTTGTACTTTGTCAAGGCAGCCCTAGGAAACTAATGTACCTGTGTCAATACCATCCTGTTTAAAAAACTTTTATTTTGAAATTTAAACTTACAAAAAAATTAGAAACAGTACAGAGTTCATATTCACCTTCCCCCCAGCTTTCCTAATGCTCATGTTTTATACAACTACAGTACAGTGATCAAACCCAGGAAATGAACAATGACACAATTTTTTTAGAGAGATTTTTGCTATAAGGGCATGTGTGCTCATAAAAGAGACAGAGACAGAGAGACAGGAAGCGAGAATCATGTCACCCCTTGCCGAACAGGCCATGCACAATCCCTTATCCTCCAGTCTCCTCTTGGGATTTTGGGCATGCATGCACATGCACCTGGCATGGGTTTCAAGTCACTGGGTCCACAACTCAAACCGCAGTAAGCCACGTAGGAGTCTAGCAATGTAACCATTATGCCACCTGCTGGTCTCATGATGATATAATATTGATATTAGTAATGATATAACATTGATACAGTATTAACTAAACTACATACATACTTTTAAAAATTTCCCTAGTTTTTTTCACTCATGTCATTTTCCTCTTCTATGATCCAATCCAGGATCTCACCTTGCACCTAGTTATGTCTCCTTAGCTTCCTCTAATCTCTGACAGCTCCTTCGTCTTTCAAGACTTTGACATATAACTCTGATCACTTGTTTAAGGTAGTACCCACTGGGTCTCCACACTGTGTAACTCAATAAACATGACGAAGGAGATAAGTTGAAACCGTGTAACTATCCCATTTTTTTGCAAGCTTTTTTGCCCACTGATTTTAGTACCTTATCTTGCTTACAACAATTACTGCAGTATTTGCCTAATGTGATTTTGCAGTTCCCTGCTTTCTCATACATTGATTGTTTGAAATTCTTCCATAATTTCTTATGACAGTCTTTTTCTCCCTTATTTAAAAATTCACACGAGTATGGACTTAGGGATATTTATTTCAGTCTACGGGTTATAATTCAGTATGATCACTACTTATTTGTAGCTCAAATTGATTTAGGCTAGGACTTTAGGAGATCCTTCTTTTTGACTCTGGGGTCAGTTCAATGTGACGCCCATCTTTTTTCATGAATTTACTTATTTACTGGCAACAAAAGATGTTCCAGGCTCATCTTGTATTTCCTGAGTCTAGGCCTTGGAATTAACTACTTCTTTTAAAGGAATCCTGATTCTTCTTGTTGGAGAACAATATTTAGAAACAGAGATCTGGGCTGGCAGGTGGCATGGTAGTTATGGGGATTGGACTCCCACATGGCCTACCGCGGTTCAAGTCCAGACCTGGTTGCTTACTTTCTTACTTTCCCTCTCCCTCTCTGGTCAAAATTAAAATAAATAAATAAATAAATAAAGTTAAATTAAAAAAAAAAAGAAAAAGAAACTGGTATCAGTGCACTTGGTGAATGGCATTCTGTTTTAATTACTGTAGCTTTATAACAAGTCTTAGGGTCTGGTAGTAAAAGTCTTAAGTTTTGTCCTTAATAACTGTATTGGCTATTCTTTGTCCTCGGCATTTCCATATAAATTTCATGAGCTTTACAACTTACACAAACAGCACACCCCCTGCTGGAACTCTGCATAAGACTGTATGGTATTTATAGATCAATTGGGAAAAGCTGACATCTTTGCAGGACTGAAGAGTATGTCATGAACAATGTATCTCTCTATATACTTAGCTCTCCCTCTTTTTTTTTTTTTTTTAAGTTCTTTCCTTTTCTTAGAGAGAGAGAAGAAAAACAGGTACCCTCAACAGAGTCTCAGGCTGTGATCCTCCCCAGAGCCTGTCCAGCCAGCCAGGATCATGGACATACGTGTGTTCCTCATATAGATGACTTGGGATCTGAAACCCAATTTTCCATATGGATATAGCCTGGTGTGCTACTGCTGTGCCTTTGTGGCTGGCTATTTTATCTGTCTACCTATCTACATATTTTGGGAGATTTTTGCTATAGGGCGGGTGCACGTGCAGGAGAGACAGAGAGAGGCAGAGACAAGGGAAAGCAAGAAATCACCCGCATGGCCATCCCCCGCCCCGCAGTTGGCTATGTGGGAGTCCAGTGACATAACCACTATGCCATCTGCTGGTCCCTATCAAATGATTTAAAAAAAATTTTCAGGACCAGCAGATGGAGTATTGGTTACATCACTGGACTCCCATGTAGTCGACTGAGGTTCAAGTCCTGGACCTGGTGGGTTGAAACTCATGCTGGGCAGGTGTGCATGCGTGCCTAATATCCTGAGAGGAGAATGGAGGGGAAGGGATTGCAGCATGGTCATCCCCCTGGAGGGTAATTTTTCTCTTTCTGTCTCTCTTTGTCTCTCTGGCAAGGGCGCATGTCCTATAGCAAAAATCTCTCTTAAAAACAATATTCTCTTTCTTCCATGAGAAAGACAAACAGATAGCAAGACCAATAGTAGCAAGACCAGCAAGGTCTTGCCATTGTGACCTATCCCCAGCTCTAGCCAGGTTCAGATTATGGACATATGCATCTGGCATAATCAAATGTCTCTGGCTGTAAACATAGAACCTTCCTATATGGGTCTGTCTCACAGAGTGCCACGTTTCTTTTTTTTTAAATTGTGTAATTTTTGCCATTGGGCACATGTGCTCGTTGGAAAGACAGAGAGAGGGAAAGTGAGAAAGCACAACACAGGCCATGCCACAATCCCTTTTCCTCCATTCTCTTCTTGGGATATTTGAGCACCCAAGCACGTGTGCCCAGGATGCTTTTTGAGTCCTGTCTGGTCTAGGATTCAAACCCACAGTTGGCTATATGGGATCTAGTCGCCTTAACCACACACTATCTGCAGACAGCAGAGTGTCACATTTTACTGCTGTACCACATGCTTTTTTTTTTTTTTTTTTTAAAGATCTATTTTCTTTTACTTT